TAATGATTGTGACAAAAATAATTGTGCTGTGAAACTCTGCATAGTGATAGAAGTACCTAACTGCTGCATGGCAGTGTGCTTCAAAATAGGCTGGTTTAGCCAATGCCATAGAAAGAAAACAAAGAGTCCATCTCTCTCTCTTTTGGTCTCTCTCCCTTTTGCCCTTCTGCCCAAGCTATAGGTTGTTAAGACTGTTCCAGTCTTCATCTTAAATAAGTGCCATTCTGCATATCCTCAGTGAGCAGTGATTGATTTGGATACATTAGAAGCAACTTCATGCCAAGGGCTTGCGTTATTGTACATGTGAGAGATAATAGCTGCAAATGTGGCAGCATGGATTCCTGCAATAAGGAAAAGAAATCATAAATAAACAGTTAAACAATGATGAGTTTATTTCCCTCAGCAGTGTTAAGTTTTTGCATATATTTATAGTTCAAGCAGTGTGGTTGGAACCACTGCTTTGTTTTCCACCCCCGTGCCTTGGCTAGTGAGAAATATGTTGGCTAGTAAGGGATTCTTTAGTCTGTCTTGTTACTCCAATTAAAAACATAACTTGTGTTCCTTTAGGTACTGGGATGTTGACTCAGAGGCATTGGATAATACCCACTGTAGATTGAAAGCTCCTGTGTAATCTCAGTAGAAAAGGACAGTGTAAAGACAAATTCAACACATCATTAAGGCCATCTTTGTGAAAAGCAGCATGTCTTCATGTTGAACCATGGCTCAAATGAAGTGTACATAGGCTGCTCTTGGATGGGAATTTGAGCAACCTGACCTAATGAAAGATGTCTTGGCCCACAGCAGGGGGAATGGACTAGACAATTTTCAGAGGTTCCCTCCAACCCAAACTATTCAAGGATTAATGTTTCATGCATAAATATTTAGCAGTCATTCTGGTCATCAAGTTTCACATTAGTAGCTACTTGAATACTTTTGGGAGGACAATTAGATAGATAGTGTACAAGTTGTATTCTAGTAAGTTGTTGTGGCATCAGCTGAAAGGTTGTCTAGAGAAACTGGATATCAGTTCTTAATAATGAAAATGGTTTACACTTTTTACGCAGGTCATGTTTGCATAAAAACAAATACATTGAAATATCTTGCTACAGTGTCTCTGATGCACTGGGGCAATTTCTGGTGAATCTTCTTCTGTAAGCCAGTGCCCTGCAGTTGCTCCTTCACATGTGCAATTTTTTCTCAAATTAAGCCAAGGAGATTTCAGCAGCACAAAATCCTCAACACGCATACTTGTCTTGTATGCATTCATAAGGGTTGCAGTAGATTTATACACTGACATGATTTTAAAAAATGTTTGCTGTGCAGTGCTCATGGTCACAGTGTAGATGAGATATTGTCTGTGTTTTGGCTCTGCATTGCACCAAGATGACCCTTAGTTAATGCTGCAGATTTTTATGTCAGTGGTAATTTCTCTCAGCAGATTAATTGCCCATCCTGCTGGCATACAGACTCTCAGCTCTTATATGGTGATTCAGCCTTCAGTAGCAGTGAGTGACACCAGTCACCAATCAACCTGCTTTTCCTCCCACTGCAGTAACTCCTAGAATTTCCTTTAAAGACTGGTGTTAGAGGAAGGCATCTTTTCAAGAAAATAAAATATTTGAATTTATGGCTACACATTGATTAAATAAGCTCATGCCTAGGTCTGCCTTTCATTTGCAAAGTGGGATTTTGTCTCCATGTACTCAGAAATCATGAATGGAAGTCACAAGAGGTTACTGGGTCATTTTGTTTCCAAATGAAAAATCTTTGTATGATCTTTATTTTTTGACCTTCTGAGGCTATTGAATTTGTTCTTTATTGTCTTTCTGCAACTATGAGGGAGAGAAACATCTTTTAAATGAAGGATAAAACTCTTAATCTGAAGCTTTGCAAAAAGCAACAAATACCGTTGGGCTTTGTGACACCATGGTAAGACTTGTCAGCAATAGCTGTAGTAGACATAGGAGAAGTCAGCAAAGGCTGGTCATGCCCTTTGGAGGACAGTGCACACCTGAAGTTGGAAGGGCTACACTGTGCTATGGATTTAAGCAAATAATTAAAATATTTATTTTGCTGAAGATTATTTATAATTGCAACAGAACTCTGCTTCTTTGCTGGTAGTGTGAGCCTTCCCATTAGAACCTTGAAATTTATCTAAGGAAGACTTGTGATAAATTTTGTGGACTTGTATAGGCCACATACCTTTTCACCTTTTTGCCTTCTCCTCTTCCAACTCCATGCAGAATTCCTGCATGTTTAGTTTCCATCCTGTCAGCAGCAACAGCTGCTTTGTGCCCTGCTGTCTCTGTATGTCTTTGAGAAATTCTGCTTCAGGAGTTGTCTCTTCTGTTTCCAGGCATGGAAGTGCTTCTGCTGTGGAGCTGGTGTAGTGTACAAGTAATTTTATTTTTATCTTCATTAAAATGTAGCTGGGACTAGGCATGAATGCACTAAAATGTCTTGGAAATGGAAACATCTTTCTGTGACTAGTAAAATGTGCCTTTCTGGTTGATAATTGGTTGATAATCTTGCTTTTTAAACATCCAATTCATTATTGCTGCTGCTGTGAATTTCACTTGTACATCTCTTTCAACATATGGACTGATAAAGTGCATCCTGCTTAACAATAGGCTAGAGATTTTTTTTTTTTTTCCTATCATTGTTGAATGCTATTCAGGAGTGATTAACTGTTGAACAGCAGATGCTGGCTATACTAGAAAAAGATATGATGATCTTCTCTAACCATTCAAGGATTGCAGGTAAGATCTGTGTACCAAAAAATCCCAACCCCCCAGAATCCCAAACATTGCACTATGTGCTCAGAGATTCACTTTCAGACATCTGTTTGATGGCAAATGCTGCCTGGTTCTTTATGTCTGAAGACAATTTTACTAAATGAGCTAGGCTTAATTTCTAAACTTCATTGAAATGTTAAGATTAATCCAGACCTTATACCCTTTCTGCAACCCAGTAAAATTGTTTGATTGATAGTACATGGCTGTTAATTTGGGGGAAAGTCTGTTCTACTATACCATAGATGGATATATGTGTCATAGAAGAGTGGGCCATTTTAAAACTTAAATGCTAGGTTGTTCTGCAATAAGGTCAGAATAGTAACCCACATATGTGAATTTATTTGTCTTTTGGTGTATCTTTGAGGTAGGAACTTCTGTTTAAAGTCAACCACCACCGCTTTAATTGAGCAGCTTTTGGGCATTGTTTGGATTATACAGAGCTCCAATAATAATAATACACACTGTAAAAGAAACAGAGGCAAATGATAAAACTTCACCAAGCTCTTCTGGTCAGGTTGATTAGACCTGTTTCATCAGATTATGGTAATTCAAATGCAGTGGCTGCTCTAGATGATATTTGGCATGTGTAAAGCAACTGACACAAGAGGATACTAAACACACAGGCTCTTCATTAACAGATAAAACTCTCAGACTTTCTGGAAGAAAACATCATAGAAGTGGTCATAAACCCTGATTAACCTTTCTACCAGCAATTAAATTGGTGTATAAATTTGCTGCAAATTTCTTGCATATCTTTTTGAACCTGGCATACTGTTGAGCACTGTTCTTCTGATGTTATGGATTTTATTTTTTGTAAACAGGAATTCTCCACTGACTGTAATGTAAATTGCAAGGACATTTTACATTGTGAAGAACAAGTTATGAAAATATCTGTCAGAAATAATTACAGTTGATCCTGTTGTCGGGCAGGAATATAGATTGGATAATTTACTGATGTCTTCCTCAGCAGTGTTTTTTATAGCACTGTTATCGGGAATATTAGAATCTAACTCAAAATAGTGATAAAGTCACTTGTAAGGAAAAATTAAAAAGAAAGGAGAGGTTATTGATCTTCTACTCTTGACTTTGCATGGTAGTTTGTGACACAGGCCTTACTCATGCATGCTGGTGTAGAAAACAGAGTATGATCATTTATACTGTTTTTTGAAGATGCAGAGGCTCTTGAATGTACAAATCCTGTTTTTCACTATCATCTAAGGGTGTTCTAAAGGCCTCAAACAAATGCTTGCTCCTGTTGAAGTTTGTATCCTAAATCAGATGTGGCACATAGTACAAGCCTTTGTAGGAACCTAAGGACACCTGGAGGTAAATATGCCGTATGGTGGTCTGAAGGGTGTATTTTGCCAAGTTGTCAATGCAAGTGACATTTAAGCATCCTGTAGAATGAGTGAATGGGAAAAGCTGAAAGGCTATTGATTTCCCTTGTCCTCCCTCCCCTTCTCTATATATTATGAGACCTGCTACTGTTGTTCAGGACAGCAAGGCAGAAGAGAAAGATGGAAATGTATGGTTGGCAGATAGGTTGGTAAACAGCTCTTGTAATTTCATGAGTTTGGTAGAAACTGAAGTGTCAGTATTATTCCTAAAGAGTGGACAGCAATACATCTTCCTAATGTGCCCTCTCCTGACGGATATGCAGCTGATAAGATTTTATTGATTTTCTCCCTTAAATTTCTACTCCTGATTACTTCAACACTGATGTTTTGGTGGTGTTCATTTACCTCTCCTCAGAAAGTTTCTTTATATCTCTAGATCAGGAGTAGTCCTTTCCACATAAGCCTTTAAGTCTGTGCAAAAAGAAGATCCAGGATGTGGACTCCTTAAACCTGTCTAATAGTACATTTAAGGAATAATGTATTTCTTGTCTATTTGCCTTTTGAAGAGTTCTCTATACCTAAAGGCCCATAGCAAGAGAAATGTTCTCTGCCACTGACAGATATCTGCCTATCACAAGGCATCATAGCAATCTCCAGGCTTTTTTAATCCAACAGACTATGGCAGTGGATGAAAGGACTGACCTAGGAAAACCTGCAGAGGGTTTAAAAAAACCCAGCTACTCTAATGAGAGAAAATGGATCACTTGGTATCTGTGCTGTTTTGAAACAATCCCAAAATGAGCTAACTGACCCAACTCAGAGCAGCTCAGGCTTCCTTAACCCTGCCTGTGTTTAACTCCTTTGACAGCTGTCTGCCGCTGGGACAGAGGTGAAACTTCGACAGATCGCATTTGCTGATCAGTGCTCCCCAGACTTGCAGCTCTCCCCAGGAAGACCTGAGAACAATTACAAGTGTGTCACCTGGACAAAATGTAAAACTTCGCTGTCAGACTATCCTATCCCTGGTAAGGCATCTAAGGCCACCTAATTACTGATGAAAACAAGCTTAATAAAAAGAAAATATACTGTAAAATAAGAGGACTATTAGGACATGTTATGTGTTTGTGAAATGTTTGCATTAGGCTGAGATGAGCATACTGTAAAAATTGCATGCAAAGTAATAGGAAGAAAACTAGTGCTGAAAAAAAAACACTTTCTAAACGTGTTCTGTTTGTTGGTTTTAGACATTGTTTTAATCTGCCTCCTCTGAGGGAGAACTGGTTGTGACGGTAGATTCATTTATGAAAAAATGTCTGTGTGTGTTAGGACAGAGCAGGTTTTGACTTGCCCTTCCAATGAATCCAGGAAAGAATATTGAATGAAAATGAGGTATAGATGACAGCTCTAAGCCTGGACAGAATGGGGAGCCAGACCTGACCTATTTAGTGAAGTTTCACCACTAAATCTAATTCTAATATTATTTCTCTTCTGTAAGAATGACTGTGCAGCTCTGGATCCTATGCAAAGCATTATGCACGTATTTACCTCTATGGTTTAGAGAATATTGCACATGCTCATATTCCCTATAGGCCTGTATTTATTTTTTTTTTTCCAAAATCAAGGTCTCAATACACTTGCAAAATTCTCTGTGTAGTATGGATGTGTAATACTAAGTAGAATAATAGTGTAAATGTTAATATAAAAGATGAGTTAGCAGTACCCAGTAGAATGTGACTGTTCATAGGTCATCTTTGAATGCCCATGAATTAATAAAAGATGATTAATTGTTATAATGTGCTAAAACACTAAGAAAGACTAAAGATAGTTCTGAATGACATTCTGTGTTAACTTAATTTGCTAAGAAATGCTGAGAACAGCTGCAGAAAATCACAAAGCATTCTTGTATCTTATGTAGCCTACTTCCCCCTCCCTTCCCCCCGCCTTGGTGAGTGGTTTACTTAGTTTAACTTCTTTGGGGTTTTCTGTGGTCCTTTTAGTTTGATAAGCATAGTCTTTTAAATTCATGATAGGATGTGAATTGGGTAAATTCAGATTCCTAGGAACTGATCCTACTGGAAGTACAACTGTTGGCTGCATGTTAAGTGAATGTACAGGTAATTGGAATAAATGAGAATTTTAATGTTTGAAATTAAAGCTCTTTACCAACCTTTATGATTCTATGACTATATTTCCATTTCTGGGTCCCCAGTATGTCATGTTAAGATGACCTGCCATTAAACAATGCTTGGCTGTTGCTGGAGAGGAGCTGTTGATGCTGTTCCAGCTGTTCTGCCTGGCTCCCTCTCAGGTCAGCTTGGGAACACTGGTGCAGATCCTGTACCACGATTAATTTTGATGGGAACAGCATTGTCATGAACATGTTGAGGTCTGTTCATACAGAGAGCTTAGAGAAGAGACAGAACTACTCATGAATCTGTGCTGTGGAAGAATTGATGCCAACTCAAAATATAAGATAGGCCCAAGCTGAACTTATTATGACTTCCATGTTCTGACTAGATTAGTACAAGAAAGAACCTCTTTTCCCTTTTCACTTTGTGTATAATGAAACCCTGCTTAGTACCAGCATTCTCTAACATTCCCAGCAACAAACCAACAGCAAGAAGTCACTGAAATGGTGGAGTTGGCAGTTTATGACTAAAGACAGGAGGATTAAGGGTGAAGCATGCAGGCTTCATGCCTCCCCAGAAGTAATTTCTTGTACCTTTTTGTAGTTTCTATGTAGTTTTTTTTTAGTTTTCTAGTAGTTACATTTTTGTAGTATTTTTGTAGTTTTCTAGTTTCTATTAAAAGAAAACAAAATGAGTCCTCTTCTCCGAGGCCAGTCTCTGTTGGCTAGATGTACAAGGCTTACATTTCCAAGGAGATCAGAATTTACATAGCTTGGGTGTGAAAAAATACTGAAGTTCTTACCATACATGGCTCAGAATATTTTAAAGTGAGCAGAAGCTGTTCAAATTCTTTATGTCTTAGAACTGAGGAAAAACCGCACACTTCAGCACAGGAACATTTTCAACATGCCATACTGTATACTGAAATCCTGACATTCAAAAAATGTATCTATTTCACATACCTAGTCTCCCAAACCTGTTCCATTCAGTTTAGAATTTTTTGATTTTTCTTGAGACACAGATTTACATAGTCAGAGTATAACAATATTCTTGAACCTTCCTTTTTTCAAAAGCATCTTCTGCTGTAAATTCTGAAGATATGCTATCGGCAGATAAAATGTTGCTGTTAATCAGAGAGTCTGAGAGATTGTGAGAGGAAACTGAAATCAAGCACAGTTTTTGAGTAGGACCGAGGTAGGATCAATTGCAACTCAAAGTAATCTGCTGAAATTATTCCCTCTTGTTCTTTCAAATCATGTGTTTTATTTGAATTACATAGCATGGGGCACTGAGCCCCTGTGTGAGCAAAGTAAAGACAGCTGGTACAAGGGATTAATAGTGATGCTTGTTTATTGCAGAGGTTTGGCCCTGTAATTTAGAGAAATAGGCCAGAGTCATGAGAAGGAGAACAAGGCAGCATTTTCCCTGCTGTTCTGTTGAGGTCAGTAAGTGGCATTTCTGCTGATTGAGTTTCAGTTTTGGAAAGTGTTTGAACAGTTTTGTTTATATTGTGTATCATGCACGCATCTATGTATATTTGTGGAAAATCAATAATGGTGTAAAATATCTGCCTTCAGTTTTTGCCCCTTTTGTGTAAATCAGGGATTAAATGTTTTTATAACATTATGTCTCACCAAACGTCTACTGCAGTGAATTTGTTGAACTCATTAAATATCACAGAGGACGAGACGCCCATAAATTCACTCAAATGAATTCATGAACAGTTACACTACTAAAACCTGATTTTCTCCGTGTTCCTTGCGCCTGATTAATTACGCTTCCAAAAGCGATTCGTGTTGAAGGACAAATAGACAAGCTTTATTCCATTAGCGGGGAAAAAAGAAAAAGCTAGAACTTTCATCCTGCTTAGCACTGTCTGCAAAACCAGCAGAGTTTGCCCTGAGGTGCTGCAGGACAGGAGTTGTCTCAGCCTGTCCAGGTTACAGTGCATTGACAGTCACCTACGGGTACCCTTTGCTGGAATTGCTCTGCTTCCCTGTGGCACCTTTCAGATGTGCTCTCTTGTAAGGCAGGGCTGGTACAACTCACAAAAGGGTTTGTTCAGTAACAAATGGCAGCTGGACATAAAGTTTGGAATGAGAAAATAACAGTAAAAGTTAACCAGATTTCAAGCATCTTATGGTGACCAGTCTGGCCAGTTTTTATTTATTGTTGTAAGTATCCCAAAGTGTAATTATATTAAAAATCTTTCCATAATGCAAGCAGGCCTAATAAAAATTGATTTTTTTTCTTCAGTGGATACATCACAGCTATCTAAAGCTGTGGCATACATTTAGAACTCTACTTTAAGCAGATTTATTTGTGGTGCTCAGCTCAGGCCAAAAAAACCCAGAAGACCCTTTTAGTGTTAGCCACAACTAAAACCTAAACAAAACCCTCAGACTTCAAACAAAAACCAAAGGAAAGATTTACAAACAAAATATATTGTGAAAGTAGCATCTGCTTTGATAAACTGCATTTTGCAAGATTGTTATTCAATGTGATGGGCTATTGAGATTAAAAAAAATTTAAAAAGACAGTATTGTGAGGTCTGAATCTGGTGTAAGAGTTTATCTTTCTTTTGTCTGTTTTTAAGGTTCCAATTTGTGTGTTGCTAGTTGTAGGTATTTTAATTACACAAAATCTAAGCTGCCTTGTCATACCCTAAAGAACAGAATATTGAGGATGAAGAGAATCAGAGGGGACACAGAATGACTGATAGAGAGTCTTTGTACTCATGAAGAGAGATAGGAGCATAGCCACATTTACAATTCCTTTAAAGGCTCATCCTGCTTCAGAAATGTCATGTTCCTTTTCCTGTGTCCCATTGTCATGCACAAATTTCTGCCCAGCCTTAGTTAAAACACCCTGCCATTCAAAAGAACATGAAATCTGTTGTTATTATTCATGTATCCATTTGATTTCACACCAAAACCCAGAAATGTGTTGTAAGAAAAAAAAGGAGAAAAAATATTATAAAAATACAAGATTTCACAGAGAAATATATCAGTTTATTGAGCTGCTCATTTCTTCCAATATGTTTGGATTCAAAAACGAAATGCAAAAAAACAAAGCACTTGGCTATGCAAGCAAAATTGGATTTTATTCCTTTGTTTCTGAGAAACAAGGATGAGTTTCACTTAAGTCTTCCTTGACAGAAACACTGTCTTCCTTAACTTTAGTTTTATTTAGGAATTTGACCTTTCTTATTTATATTAATTTTCAGTTGGAGGATTAAGGCCAAGCATCCAAGCCTCTATTCCTGACTGAGTGAACATATAATTTATTTTCTAGTGCCTTTGTTTTATTATCTGTCAAATGTGTGTGGGGAGACTCCTGAGGTCTTTACAAAAGAACTTGTTTTTGTAAAACACTTAGATCCTACGTTTGCATGGTGCACTGTACTTGGAGAGGGGAGAGGTCTAAAATGTATGGTTTTATCACCAAATTTGCAGTAAATAGTCAACTACCTTGGAAATGCATTTACAATGCACATTATTGCAAGGGGTTTATGTAGCATAGGATATGAAATCTATCCTGTAGTCTACAGGAAACTGGAAACCAAGAGAAGAAAATTTCTTCTCTAAATTCAGCTATTTTTCATGGATAGAGAATCATTTTTGTGCCGAGCAGCTTCGTGGCATTCATTGCATGTTGCAGTAGCTCACACTACCATTTTGAAATGGGGAAGAAGAATCAATCAGCTGTTTCACAGTGGGATAATTCCTTGCAAGTGATGTCAGGTCAGTTGGATTTAAGTTGATTTATCTCATGTTTAGCATCTATGGGAGCTGGAAATGATATTGGAAAACACTTAGGCTCAGTCATATCTGATTCTCTGAGCATCTGTTCTTGTTTAGGAATCAGGCTCAAACTAACTTATGATACAAGGAGTT